TGTTCCCAAAAGCCCAGAAGAGCAGTCAGGAAATCAGAGGGCAGCTGAAAGCCCTGGACTCTGAATAAGTCTCCTCTGGACTCTTGGTGATCCAGGCAAGCTCTCAGTCCAACAGCTTTCTGAAGTGCTATCTTGGTTCTCAACTCCCAGTGGGTTAGACTTTTCCCTGGGTGCTTTCAAAGAGCTCCTGGTTTGATAAGACTCTCCTTAGGAGCCTGTGGAAGCCTAAAGGTCTTCTAGAGCTCTGAGGCCAGTTTAAATCCTAAATATCACTTCTACTTCCTCAAACCTCCAGGTATTTATCAATTAAAATTGGTCCTCCATATCTGGCCTCCACTCAAATTCCCATGATGTTCCTCAAGGAGACCTCAAGAGCCACCAAGTTTCAAAATCACTGGTCAGCCACTAGTACTCAAAGACCTAAACAGAGCACTTATTTCAATAGTTAACATCAAAGTTTATTAGGAACTGTTAGAACCATCTAAAAATAATTTCCTAATACCTAAAAGGTAAAGTAGAAAGAGCACAAGATGAGGCAGCAATTAAGGAATGGGTTCTAGTCCCAGTCTGGCCACTAACTCACTTTGTGAAGAAGTCTATTATCCAACCTTCTTTGGGCTAAAGTATCCACACTATTCTACTAACCTGAGCTATTATAAAAATCTAATTTTTTAAGAGATGTGAAAACAATTACTCCTTCAAAAAACAACTTCAAAAAACTTTTCTCCTTTATTCAATTACTCCTTCCTATTTAAACATTTTGAACTTCTACTCTCTGCTCAGGATTGTGCTATGCATGGAATTTATGGTTAGTAGGGAAACCAGAAATGAAATAATTACAATTCTGATAAGTACTATGAAAGAGAAATACTAGGACCAAGGGTAGCATACATCAAGAGACTTAATTTACTGTGAGGGCTCAGGGAAGGCTTCTCTGAGGAATCAACATCAAAACAGAGCCACAAAGAATAAGTAGAAATTAGCTTGGCAAAGAAGTTAAGATTACAGGCAGAAATTCGAAGGCCCTGAAACAACATTCAAATGTAAAGTGGAATTATGGAATACTTAAATAACTTTTCAAAAACTTTTGAAAAAAATCAAAAATTTAATCTGTAACATTGAAATTTAACACACAAAATTTGCCATTTCTAAGCCCCACCCTCCTGTAGGCTCATTGACAGCTTGGATTTTTAATTGTCCAATTTTTCCTAAGAAAACAATAACAGCCTAGTCCTTGCTCTGTTATTTTCTGCTACGTACCAATGCTCAGATAACAAAACAGATAAATGTCCATGTAGAAACAGTGTTTTGGAACACAGAATAAAATTCAGAATAAGCTTTTGGTTTTAGGACATATCATTAGGTACATACAAGTTCAGAATTTATATAGCCCCCTGGCATATTTTCCACTTAAGCATATGTACAAAACCTCTCTATCCCTATCTTTTTAAAAAATTTTTTTTAGTTCAGCATATTACAGGGGTACAAATGTTTAGGTTACATATATTGCCTTTGCCCCCACCCCCGGAGTCAGAGCTTCAAGCATGTCCAACCCCTTCTATCTCTATCTTTAAAAAGAACTCAGTGCTTTGAGTTAATTATCTTTTACATTCACAATTGTAAGACTCTTTTTATATAGACAAAATATGCCAAACTAAAATAGCACGATTGGTCAAATTTTTTGAAGTTACTCTGCTAAATTTCTTTTCAATTTCAATATCCTTTGGAACAGTAGGTTTTGTAAGAGGATCATAGTACATGTACATACCATGATATGTTTTAATTACATTATATTAATAAATGCATAGTAGGGGCTTTTCCTTCTCATAGCTTATTGAGGTACTAAATAGATAATCTGAAGATTTTCACCCTGCTCTGGATCCAGACACATGTAATCTAAAATTATTTTATGTCAACAACATGTATTACTTTTCTTGAATTCTAAACCCATTAAATAGCCTCAATCTGAAAATTAGCTTCATACAATGCTTAAATTGTTGTGCAAACTTCTTTATTCCTACTCTTCTGAAAATGTGCATAACTACTGATTTGCCATGTTTTACTGTTTTAATATAGGTTATTTATAAAATTATTCCCCCATTTCTATAAATAGCTGGTTCAAAAGAAGTTTATTTTATATAGCTAAGCAGTTTAAAAACAATTTTCTTGGAGCTTTTACTAGCTTATTTCAGAAGACCTCCTAAACAGACCTAAGAGTGGCCTGGTATTACATTATGCCACAAAACATATTTCTTACATTTTACAACTAACCAACCACCTCCAATTGCTGAAATTTTATAATTGGTAGAAGTAACAATGTATTATTATTTCTACTATTACAGTCATGTGTTACTAATTATTCAGAGAAGGGAAGTATCAAAATACACTTTTAAATAGCTACAAGATATAATAGTTCAGACATATATAAAGTTTGAGGGTACATAAATAAATCTTAAACATTAAACTTTTTAATTGTTCATATATTTTCTTTTGATTTAGAAGAAATAAAACATCAATGAGGAAAAAGGAAACTCCTGAGGTTACAGATACTTTGTACACAGTTCTTTCTAGTAAGAATTTTGATTAGAAATCAAACTTATTCTTTTCTGAACACTGAAGAAGAGAGATCTTGCAACACTGTCTACTTTAGTAATTACTTTGAACATATTTAAAAAAACAATTTCTCTTATTAGAACATCAAAAACAATAAAATATATCAGAGATTAAAAATAAATTAAAACTCTGTTGACAATTTTCAACTTTAATATTCACTTCACAAAGAATGAATTGAAACATTTTTAACAAGGTTAACTGCTTTGATCATGATGCCTACACAAAAATATTTTTCACATTATTTTGGATCCATGATACATATTTATTTAAACAGGATATTGGGAGGAGGGGAATAAGAAAACAAAATAAAATCCTCCCAGATATGTTGACAGTATGTCAAAGTCAGGAGTAAAATGCATTGGTATCTTATGCTACCAAAATGAAAGCCTTTGACTGAAAAAAACCTTGATCATTATATATGATAGACACATATATATTGTGGTTCATTCAAAAACATTTTTAAATGCATGGTTATTTAAAAAAAAATAAACCATTTGAATGGTTAAGTAAATTGACTATTAAGAAACAAAAGTTTTCATAACAAAGTATATAGGTTATTTTTTAATTAAAAATAACTATATGGGAATATGCATGATCTGTCTGTATTTAACATTACTAGAGGAATTCTTAAATCTACATAACATGAAATATTATAAAATAAGTTCCTCAGGAAAAGAAAAATCTTAGCACATTATCCAGATATTAGTGAGCAAAAAAAAATGTAAAAAGTAACTATTTTAAAAATGTAATGTGCTCTAATAAACTTAACTTAGTATATATGAAATACTGTGTGCCCACCATTGTTCTGGGTACTTTGAGGAATAAGAGTACATACATACATACACACACACACACACACACGCACGCAACATACAGGAAAAAAATGAATCCACATGAAACAACTACAGAATAAAAGATTACCAGTTCTGAAATGACAAAATTTTAGAAATGGAGAACAGATTAGTGGTTGTCCAGGATTAGAGACAGCAGGAGGTGGGTCTGGTTATAATAGGGCAACACACAAGATCCTTGTGATGACAAAAGTCTTCTGTAGGTTGGCTGTGGCAGTGGAGACTGGATACACATGGACTAAAATTATGTAGAATAACACATACACGGACAAGTAGGGAAACCTGAATAACATCAGTGGATTTTCATCAATGTCAACTTCTAGGATCTTTCTGTATTATTCCTCACAACTGTATGTGACTCTATAATTATCTCAAACTAAAAAGTTTTATGCATGACTATAAAATATACTTTCTCCATTCTAAATACCTAGCCCTCAATAGAAATACACAAGGAATAAATGCCAAAATCCCAGTGACAAAAGGTACTGCTGTACCTGTGTGGTAATCCACACAGGTACAGCAGTAATTCCCCTCAAAGAAACCCAGAGTAAGCATTATGTCTAAATATTCTCTGTCAATATATTCTCAATTTTCTTTTAGCTATGTGTTAATTTACAGTAGTTTTAAAGATCACATCTTATAAACTGAAGATTTCTCTTGACACAGTAGTAATAAACTGTGGTGGAATCATCTTTGGTCAAATAGAGAGAGAACCACCATTATCTTCTCTATCCCTCTCTCTCTTTCATCTCTATCTCTCTATCTTTCTCTGTCTCTATTTCTTTCTCTTTTTTCCTTCCTTCCTGAGAAGGAGTTCGTTTGGAGTGAGGGGTAGAATGAGAACACATAAGAATTTCACAAAGTCTGGTCTTTACGTACTTTGAATCTCTTGGAAAAGATTCAAACATCATTCTCTTTCACTAATTGCAAGAGGAGAAATAATGTGTAGACCACTCTGGAATTCCTTTGCTGTGAGGAAGTGAAGGTGACCAAAGGCAGGGTGACCTGCAACCGCACCCAGATAAAACGGGTGTGAGTAGCGTAGATTCCCATTTCTGTCAAATGACTTCTGTGGCCTCGACTTTCAACCTGACACTTGTCCGCTTGCGATGAGGACGCAAATGAGGACATCAAGCCCCTCTCCCGCCCATCCTGAAGCTTCACCCTCCCTCCGTCAGCCTCCCCCTCAAAGATGCTTCTGCGCTCTGCGCGTCCTCCTGTCCCCACCCAGCCGCTGCCCCCAAGCTCAGCGGGCAGGGGCGGGCCGGGGGCCCGGGGACGGGGGCCGGGCAGGGCCAGGGACGCCGGGCGGGGGCCGGGCAGGGGGCCAGGGACGCCGGGCGGGGGACGAGGCAGGGCCAGGGACGCCGGGCGGGGGCCGGGCAGGGCCAGGGACGCCGGGCGGGGGACGAGGCAGGGCCAGGGACGCCGGGCGGGGGCCGGGCAGGGCCAGGGACGCCGGGCGGGGGTCTAAGGCCCGGAGTGGCGGGAGAGGCCAGCGGCACCGAGCGTCGCGGGTTGGCGGTGAGGACTCACCCGCATTCTGCAGCGTTTCGATGTTTTGGGGTCTGGTCGCCAGCTCCGCCACCATCTGCACGAACTGGGTCCGGGCTTTCTGGTACTGCTCGAACACTGCGGGGGAGAGGCCCAGTGGAGCCGCCGCTCGGCCCGTCGGCCCCGCCAAAGAGGAGATGAACCACATCAAGCCCTTGAGAGTGTGGGACTGAAGGGTCTGATACAAAGAAAATGATTAACATGGATCTTTCTGCCTTTTATGTGGTGCTAGGATGGTGGTTTACCTTTTTATACAATAGAATTTGTTAGTGTTTTAAACAGGTTTTATTGAAGAAATGTCTTCAAGGTATTGAGCTATGTGTTTTATTTAGGCTAATAGGATAACTCAGGAAATTAGTACGCATTGCCAAATATCTTTTGCGTCTTAATAAGTGTGTTGCGGCGTTTAATAGCGTATTGAGTTAGCTGAATGTTCTTGATGAGTTGAAGTTGCATGTAAGTCCAGATGTGCTGAGCTTTAAGTTTAAAGCAAATTGAGGAAAGAAACCTATCTTATTTATCTTTTGTATGCTCAGAGTCCTTTTGACAATAACTCAACAATATTTGTAGGACCTTGCAGAGGACTTCCAGAAGTCTACAATGATTATCTTCACAGTGCTAATAAGTGGACAAAGCGTTGGATATTTTAATGAACTCAATGAAGCACAAAACATTTTCGCAAAACGTAAATCAATGATATCCTACTCATTGCATGTTTTAGCTTATGATATTTAATCAGGTAGACCATATTAACAAATGTCTTTAAGGTGTTTCCAGAATTCTAAGGAGAAAGTAAATTGAACACACAGAATTGTACTCTTGCTAATTTCATCAAAGTGCCTGAAAACTCTTGGTTAAATATCCATAAGCAAGGAGAATATTTAAAGGACTTATATTTTTTATAGTACCAGAGCATGACACTAACTGTTACTTTGCCAATTCAACAAGAATGTCTAAGGATCCAGGTTGGATGTTGCCAATAGTGAAGAACATGCTGATATCTACTATTTAATTTAAATAACTTAAAGCATACTGAAAATAGTTAATTCTCTAATCACTAACATGATAGGGTAATTAGCAAATTAAAAAAGCCTCGCTAAAGCTGGCCCTTAGGGTATGTAAGAATCACCTTTAAGGCTTCACAAGATGTCAGTTCATTAAATAAGACAGTTTACCCGAAAAGAAAGTTAGCACTAACTGGTTCTAGAGGCAACATAACGACTGTAGCTTGCCAACCACCCCACACACCTTAAAAATAGGAAAGCAAGGCTTTAGTGAAAAGTTCCTTTCTACGGTCTTTCAAGAAGAAAAGCTCCACCAACTTGCTTTGACCAAGTTAAAGAGATTATCTCCTTTTTCATTACGACTGTGTTTTCAATGAATTGAAGGATAGATCAAAGTGCATTCATATTCATGTGATTATCGCTATTGACTTGATAATGATGGATTTCATTGTTTTTTAAACTGAAACCAGGACGCTGCTGTTTTGAGGCTATACCTAAGGCTGTAGAATTTCTTCTATGAGGACTCAAAAGCACAGCAATTAGGTCTGACCCACATCATTCCATAATGTACTTCGTACAGAGGACTTTTTATTGGAATCGGTATACATTTCTATAGAACCCTACCACAATTTGTCCTACTTCCAACCTTCTCAATCATAAATCAGAAAAGTATACTTCCAAAATACATATATAAATAAATTACTGAAAGATACAATGTGTTTGAGACCTTTTGGTGTTCATGAATCAGACAAATGCTATCAGTAATTACCCAGGAGAGTGTTTTGCTTATAGAAATGATTATTAGTATAGTTTTCTAGTGTTAGAGATCAGATCAGATAAGTATGGGAAATGTGTATAAAGAACTGATATATTAATTAAATATGCTTCTGAAATATTTCTAATATTTTCACTTGGGTTTTCTTCGAACTTCCATAGTTTCTAAGAAGAGAAAGAGGTTTACCAGATTCATTGGAACTACCTCACCATTCAAACAATAATTATTCTGTTCAAATATTCATTACTAAAATGCTTATACTTTGGAGAACACTTCTTAGAAAATTTATACAATAAAGTAAGCTATATTGAACTAAGCAATTTTAAATGAATTAGAAAATGCAGTTGCATGAACTTATATATAAAACAATTTAGGAAAATACATTTGCATGAACTTTAACATACACAATTCATATAGCCCCTCTAAACTTAAAGGGAAATTTTAGTGCAACACAAGTCTGTTATATTATCATGGCTGCAATGGAGTTCTGTGAATTTTACCGAAAGATAATTGATACCATTTTTGGTTCCCTCTTAACTTTTGGCATACATTTAAAGCATTATACAATGAGCATAATTTTTTAAAATCCATGTTTTTCTATTCAGTTGGCTACAGAAATCTCTATTTTACATTACCCATGTGTTTTTAGTATTGCAAGACACTCTTTAAGCCAGGAGTTTAGGTTGCTTATTTTGGAACATGACCATAAGCAGACTGAAATTATTTGTATACTTGCAATTTACTTGTGAACTTCTAAGACATTTACCTTACTTAAAATGAACAAATTATAATCTATTGTGTATAATTTCACCAGGACCCCTGAAGCCTCTAGAAAAAATTTCTTTATAAAAATTCATTTTCTTAAGACCAAGTCTGTCTTACTAATAGGAAAGGTATTAGTATTTTCTTCATCTAGGTAGTTATTATTTATGTTGTTCATATAAGACTTTATTCTTACTCTAAAAAATAATATTAGGTTACATTAGAGTAGGAGTAAATTAATGAAGCTTTAGCAATAATCAGATGTATCCTCAGAAATATCAGAAAGCAAAGATGCAAATTCCGCGCAAACCATCTCTTCTGAAAGAATGAGATGGAGTGCCACCGTGTCCTCGAAATTAGTCTGTTTTAGCGGAGCTCACTCTCGGCTCTGATCATCTCTGTGGGGAAACGGACATGCAGAGTGGATAAACAGGAGACACTGTTTTTGTTTCAGTAGTTTCAGAACCTTGAAAACCTGCTCTCTGTACTTTTGCAGTAATTTCCAAGAGTCAAGTATACAGTCAATTATTCATCAGAGTAACCAACGCACAAGACATTTAGGCTTGGACTTGATATAGCGAAATGACGTCAAAATTAAAAAAAATTGAGGTTTCGCACATGCGCGGTGAGGTGCAGCTTTTTTTTTTTAATTTCTTTCTTTCTTTTTTTCTAAATAGGCTATTGGCTCCTCTCCCAGCTTCTGGATCCGGCCTGCGCCGCGGGCCTTAGAGAAGCTGGCTGCTGTGAGGTGGCGCAGGGTTCCCACACCCCGCTCCCGGCAAGGAGAGTAGCCCGAACCCCTTCCCACTTTCCCAGCCCAGGGCCTCTCTTAGAAGTCCCGGGAGCAGACGAGGCGCAGCAGGCCGCCCCGAGCAGCTGCCGCGAGTTTTTCCGGCTGCCGCAGCGCTGCGGGCCTCGGGTCCAGGGCTCCCACCGCGCGGCGCGCGCGAGGTGGCGCACCTTCCCCGGCCGCGGCGCGGCGCACCGCTGAGCGGTTGGCCGGGACCTCCGCCCGAGCCCGCGCGGCGCTGCGGCTGGAGCGGGAGGCCCGGCCCGGGAACCAAAGCGAAAGGACAGAGGCCTTTTCATCTTAACAGCCGCCCCGCCGCGCCTGCCCCACATCCCCGCGGCGCTGCCAGGGGCTGCAGAGTCCGACCCCCCCGCCCCGCGGGCTCGGCCGGGGAGGCCCCGCGGGAGGGAAGCCCGGCCGGCCCCCCGGCGCTTCCGCACTCGCGCCCTCGGGCCGCGCGCCTCCGCCTTCCCCGCGCCGCCTCGCCGCGGCGGCCCCACCCGGTTCCGGGCCCCTTCCTCCTTTAGACGCTCCGGTCTCCGCGAGATTGCTCGTCGGAGTTGGAGAAACTTTGGGTGATGGAAAAAGCCGAGGAGTATCACAAAAAGTCGGGGAGTATCACATTCTTCCTTCTGCCGGACCCCCTGTTAACTCGGGGCACAGCTGCCTGCCAAGGCCGTGGAACCGAGGACCTGGGCACTCCGCACGGGGACCTGCCCGGTCCAGCTTGGGCGGGGAGAGCCACCACTGCTCAGCCCTGGCAAGACCGCACCTGAGGGATGCGTGGGCTGCATCCCCGCGGGTTGGTGGGCTCCAGGGGTCCTTTGCTATGTGGCCCGTTCACCTTTGTCTCTTGTGCCCTATGCTACCAGGAAGGTGGGAGAGGAGACAGTCTCTTCAATAAATGGTGCTGGAAAAACTGGGTATCCATATGCAGAAGAATGAAACTAGACCCCTACCTCTCGCCATTACAAAATCAAATTAAAATGGATAAAAGACTTAAATCTAAGATCTGAAACTATGAAACTACTATAAGAAAATGTTGGGGGAAAGGTGGGAGAGGAAGGTACATACCTTCTCTGACACAAGTCCAGCATCGCCAAGATTTTAAAGGGTTCGGAGGGGCTGAGGGTGAGGCATTGAAAGGCAGTGGCTGACGGGCTTCTGTGCCAAGGCGCTTGGGCTTTTCTATCTGGTGACGCAGGTTTTGGTACAATTTTTAATTAAGAGCTCATGTAGTGAAGAAGATACTTATATCACTTAACACGCTAAACTGAGATAATTGAGTTTGGTTTTTATGCATGGCATTGCCTTAGAAAATGTTATGCTGTATTTCAGATTTCCACATTAAAAGTATCTGTTTTTAGTATCAATCACTTTGAGCTATATGGTACCTTTTTTGGAAGCAAAATTATTCGTGTGTGGAATCTCCTAATCACGGATTTCTTTAGGAGTGGGAAAGATGTGTTCAATCTCTGCATCCTCTGAATTGCTGGAAAGGAAGCCATGTACAGGTATATTTTTAGGTCTTTGGGGCCAACTAAATCATTGCCCTTTTAACATTCTATTGGCTTAACACTAAAAGAAACAAAAAACTTTAAAATGTAATGAGTTGACTTTAAAAGGTTGAAAAGCCAAGACTATGAAATAAGACACAAACACAAAGCATACATAGAAATGTTAATCTGCCTTCCTAGATGGAAGTGTCCAAGTCTCTTCAGCTAGGGTGACAAACTTGATGACACAACTGGATGGTCTGCTCAGACCTAAAGGTAAAATGCCGATGTTATTTCCAAAAGAGGGACAGTGCAACATTTCAGATAGTCACGTCTGCTTTTATCATTAAAGACAATATTTTGGGTCTACTAACTTGATTGTGGAGTATGTAATGCCTTTATTTTTAACTCGTTTGTAAATATGGAGTTGTTTTAGTAATTTAGATTTGGTGTTGGCAAAATAATCTTTATATTCTCATAACTTAAATAATTACATGCAGTTGAATGCCTTTTAAAATGCTAACACAATGTTTTTTGGGGAAATTAATTTTGAGGGGAAGGAGATTTCATATCTGAATAAACCCAGCTAATTTTTATTAAAACAAAAAGGCTTTTATTATTTAAATGATGTTTTAGATATTCTCACCCTTCACCTACTTTACTCTAAGTCCCTCATGTGTGTTCTCAAAACACTCATGTGCTTAGAGCAATTACAGCCCTTAAAACATTGGCAGGCTGCAGTATGTGCTTGTTGAATGAATTAATACAGACTTCCGTAGGTATATGCTTGTAGAATGAATTAATGTCTATCTCTTACTAGACTCCATGTGAGGGAAGAAAGGCACATTCTCTTATTAGCAAAGTATTTGGCACACGTGGGTATTTAATATATGTTTGACTTGATGGAGGAATATATATACACATGACTCACCTCAACAGTTTTTAAAATGTAGCTGTTAATATCTAATTAGCATACATAAAGCTTTAACTTTTAAAATTCAGCTAGGACCTGAAGAAAAAAATACATAGATGTTAAAATTAGCAAAGTTTCTTTTGGGATACATATAGCAGATATTCCATGATAATGGGATTTTCTGAATTCTCAAGAAGATAAGTAAAGAGAAACAGAACAGGATTTTAAAACTGTCTTTATCCTGTTGACTTTTTCAGTCTCCTTTTCATAAATAAAAGAGGGCTTAAGTGAAAAAATGATGTTGAAGTGTTACATATTATGATTAGCCTTTTACAAAAGGAGCCAAAGGTTTCAAACAAACCTTTCATAGAACACTTTTGCAAGTTGTTCAGATAATATTTCATTCTCAATCAAATGTATAGTGTCATATGTTAATTACATTGTATACCTCTAAAGTCAGCTGGTACTTTAAGAACAGTACTCTTAGTTTAATGACACTTTTTTAAAACTGAAGTTATCTCTTTGAACAGTTTGGTTTTTCACTGCTTAATTGTTAGTTTAGAGGTATGTAAGGTGTGTATGTGATCATGGAGCATTCATTTAATTTATAAAACAGAATGGTATTTTGTTTTAAAGTTAGTAAGTTGAAAATGGGCCAGAAAATCTAGATTGGTTTTCTTGTCATAAAAGAATCTGTTTGCCATATTTTATATTGAATTACTAACAATTTTATTTATATGCATATTATGATTATTCTGTTATATTTCTCCATTTAATTTTAAAGACTTTTTAAAAGAAGGCTAGAATAAAGGGCAAAGATCTAGCTTATTTAATATGTCCAATTTTAGATATGAAGTAGGCATTCTATATTATGTTTTATCAGGAGCAATGCAATTTAACTCAAAGACTCAAAGTAAATATTCAGCATACCACTTGACCTTAAGTTTTCAAAGAACTTTGTAGCATCTCATAAGTAGACTGTGTTAAGTTTATAGGGTTAGACCTTTTTTTCACTATTGAGCTCTTAACACTTTTAAGTAGAAAAAAAATAGTAAAGCAATTGCTAAAAATGGCAGCTAGAGTAGCTTAAGAGTTTGAATTGTTTTGTTTAAGGACTGAAACCAAATATGGAACCTTTTAGTTTTAAGGGGATTTTTAAAAACAATGCAACAAGGAACTGAAAATTACAGCAGTTTATTTGCAATCTTAATTATTTACTCAATGTTTCCCCCACATCTCTAATGGGAGTGCACAACAACTTTCATTTTAAAGGACCTGTTCCCTTAGGAGAATGTAGATATCATTGTAGAATTTATGGCTTAGAGTTAAGTAAAAGGATGGTGGATATCACTGGCTTCTGAACTGCAGAAGGAAAAGACATGTACCTGTTCTGAGGTATCAGGGACCCGACTAAACACATTTGTTCTTCTCTCTGATTGCTAGTCCATTCCCAACTATTTGGAGCTCCATTAAATATTAGGACTTCATCAGAGAGCTCAGGTCAGGGTGTGATCTTAAAGATTATTATAGAGGATTCACTCCAAATATAAAAACCATAAGTTTGCATGCTCCTTTCTGTAGAAGAAGAAATATCAAGGGTTTCCTGTCTTGCAGCAGCAGCTGCGGCTATCTACCATTTGACACCTGGTGAAATTGTAGTTTCTGATAGAGAAACATTTAAAGTTGACACCTGCCTGTCATTGGAACACTTGGTATACACTCTTCAAAGACAAGCTAGAAACCGTGATAGACTAAGTATTTGAAGTTCTTAAAAAAAAAATTAGGTAAAGAGTTGAAGTTAAAAAAACTAGAGAAGTCTGGTTTTCCAGGTAAAGATTCTCTCTCTTTTGGAAGTGTCATTCAGTAACAAAATAAAGATTAAATTTAACAGACAAAATGTTTTTAAAATCATATAAAAGTGAGGAAACAGCAAGATTAGTAGTAATTAGGAGAAAGCCCCTGAAGACAGGACGTTTATCACCTTGTTTCCTCGTCTGCTTTTCTGACTGAATCTGAGTGCTCATTAAATACTTTCAATAGAGTGTGCTCAGTGTATGAACATGGTCCTCGGGATCTTGAGACCAGGAATTCCAGGATATAACAGCTGGGTTAAAGAGGGAAACACTGACTTAAGGGTTGCCCTGACACTGATGTGTTTATCAGACCACGCGTCGTCACGCGTGGGTTTCCCTCGACCTTCGAGCTCGGACAGCTCCAGGGCTGCAGGGTCCCTGTGCGGCGCTGGGCCAGGTTCCCGGCTGGTGGGCTCTCCGGGCCCGCGCGGCGGGCTGGGAACCGCGCCGGCCGGGGCTGTGACGATCCCGGGCTCCTGGCTCCCGGAGGACGCCTGCACTCCGCGCCCACGACGAGGGCGGTGACATTCGACGGGGACGCCCCCGCAGCGGTCTGGCGACCTGGGCAGCCCGGGGAGCCCCTGCAGGCGGCGTTCCCGGGCCGGCGCCCTCGCGCCGCCTCTGCCCCGCGCGGGGCGCCGGGCACCGCGCCTGTGACGTCAGCCCGGCCTGGCCGTTGCCGCGAGACGGCTGCGTTCCGGTTCCGGTCGGTTGCCCGGGCGACGCGAGTACACAGAGGGACGGATCCGTCGGAGGCTGAGCCGTCGCCGCGGTCGCCCTCGGCGGACGCGGGCAGGCGCGGACGGCGCGGCGCGGCGGGGCGGTCGGGGCGGTCGGGCGGAGAGCGGCGCGGCGCCATGAGTCAGAGGCAGGTGCTGCAAGGTAGCCGGCGGGCGGCGGGCGGCGGCCGGGCTGGCGGCGCCCCGAGGGCGGGCGCGGGGCCGACCGGGCCGAGCGCGGCTCCACTGGGCCTCTCCCCCGCAGTGTTCGAGCAGTACCAGAAGCCCGGACCCAGTTCGTGCAGATGGTGGCGGAGCTGGCGACCGACCCCAAACATCGAAACGCTGCAGAATGCGGGTGAGTCCTCACCGCCAACCCGCGACGCTCGGTGCGCTGGTCTCTGCCGCCACTCCGGGCCTTAGACCCCGCCCGGCGTCCTGCCTGCCGGCCCAGTCCCGGGCCGGCTCGCCCTCGCCGCCCGCCCGCGTCTGGCCTGCCCGGCCCGCCGGCGTCCCTGGCCTGCCGCCCGCCCCCGGCGTCCTGGCCTGCCGCCAGTCCGGCCCCGCTCGCCCTGCCGCTGAGCTTGGGCAGCGGCTGGGTGGGCAGGAGGACGCGCAGAGCGCAGAAGCATCTTTGAGGGGAGGCTGACGGAGGAGGGTGAAGCTTCAGGATGGGCGGGAGAGGGGCTTGATGTCCTCAATTTGCGTCCTCATCGCAAGCGGACAAGTGTCAGGTTGAAAGTCGAGGCCACAGAAGTCATTTGACAGAAATGGGAATCTACGCTACTCAGACCCGTTTTATCTGGTGCGGTTGCAGGTCACCCTGCCTTTGGTCACCTTCACTTCCTCACAGCAAAGGAATTCCAGAGTGGTCTACACATTATTTCTCATCTTGCTTTAGTGAAAGAGAATGATGTTTGAATCTTTTCCAAGAGATTCAAAGTACGTAAAGACCAGACTTTGTGAAATTCTTATGTGTTCTCATTCTACCCTCACTCCAAACGAATCTTCTCAGGAAGGAGAAAAAAGAGAAGAAATAGAGACAGAGAAAGATAGAGAGATAGAATGAAAGAGAGAGAGGGATAGAGAAGATAATGTGGTTCTCTCTCTATTTGACCAAAGATGATTCCACCACAGTTTATTACTACTGTGTCAAGAGAAATCTTCAGTTTATAAGATGTGATCTTTAAACTACTGTATTACACATAGCTAAAAGAAATTGAGAATATATTGACAGAGAATATTAGACATAATGCTTACTCTGGGTTTCTTTGAGGGAATTACTGCTGTACCTGTGTGGATTACACCAGGTACAGCAGTACCTTTTGTCACTGGATTTTGCCATTATTCCTTGTGTATTTCTATTGAGGTAGTAATTTAGAATGGAGAAAGTATATTTTATAGTCATGCATAAAACTTTTAGTTTGAGATAATTATAGAGTCACATACAGTTGTGAGGAATAATACAGAAAGATCCTAGAAGTTGACATTGATGAAAATCCACTGATGTTATTCAGGTTTCCTACTTGTCCGTGTATGTGTTATTCTACATAATTTTAGTCCATGTGTGTCCAGTCTCCACTGCCACAGCCAACGTACAGAAGACTTTTGTCATCACAAGGATCTTGTGTGTGCCCTATTATAACAGACCCACCTCCTGCTGTCTCTAATCCTGGACAACCACTAATCTGTTCTCCATTTCTAAAATTTTGTCATTTCAGAACTGGTAATCTTTTATTCTGTATTGTTTCATGTGATTCATTTTTTTCCTGTATGTTGCGTGCATGCATGTGTGTGTGTGTGTGGTGTGATGTATGTATGTACTCTTATTCCTCAAAGTACCCAGAACAATGGTGGCACACAGTATTTCATATATCTAAGTTAAGTTTATTAGAGCACATTACATTTTTAAAATACAGTTACTTTTTACATTTCTTTTTGCTCACTAATATCTGGATAATGTGCTAAGATTTTTCTTTTCCTGAGGAACTTATTTTATAATATTTCATGTTATGTAGATTTAAGAATTCTCTAGTAATGTTAATACAGACAGATCATGCATATTCCCATATAGTTATTTTTTAATTAAAAAATAACCTATATACTTTGTTATGAAAACTTTTGTTTCTTATAGTCATTTACTTAACATTCAAATGGTTTATTTCTTTTAAAAATCACCATGCATTTAAAAATTCTTTGAATGAACCACAATATATATGTGTCTATCATAATAATGATCAAGGTTTTTTCAGTCAAAGGCTTTCATTTTGGTAGCATAAGATACAATGCATTTCTACCCTGACTTTGACATACTGTCAACATATCTGGGAGGATTTATTTTGTTTTCTTATTCCCCTCCTCCCAATATCCTGTTTAAAATAAATATGTATCATGATCCAAAATAATGTGAAAAATATTTTTGTGTAGGCATCATGATCAAAGCAATTAACCTTGTTAAAATGTTTCATTCATTCTTTGTGAAGTGAATATTAAAGTTGAAAATTGTCAACATAGTTTTAATTATCTTTTAATCTCTGATCTATTTTAGTTTTTGATGTTCTAATAAGAGAAATTGTTTTTTAATATGTCCAAAGATAATTACTAAAGTAGACAGTGTTGCAAGATCTCTCTTCTTCAGTGTTCAGAAAAGATAAGTTGATTTCTAATCAAAATTCTTACTAGAAAGAACTGTGTACAAAGTACTGTAACCTCAGGAGTTGTCCTTTTTCCTCATGTGATGTTTTATCTTCTCTAAATCAAAGAAATATATGAACAATTAAAAAGTTTATGTTAAGATTTATTTATGTACCGCAAACTTTATATAATGTTAGAACTATTACATCTTGTAGCTATTTAAAAGTGTATTTGATACTTCCCTTCTCTGAATAATTAGTAACACATGACTGTAATAGTAGAAATATAATACATTGTTACTTCTACCAATTATAAATTTCAGCAATTGGAGGTGGTTAGGTTAGTTGTAAAATGTAAGAAACATGTTGTGGCATAATGTAATACCAGGCCACTCTTAGGTCTGTTTGGAGGTCTTCTGAAATAAGCTAGTAAAGCTCCAAGAAAATTGTTTTTAAACTGCTTGCTATATAAATATAAACTTCTTTTGACCAGCTATTTATAGAAATGGGGGAATAATTTATAAATAACCTTATTAAAACAGTAAAATGGCAATCAGTAGTTATGCACATTTTCAGAAGAGTAGGAATAGAGTTTCACAACAATTTAAGCATTGTATGAAGCTAATTTCAGATTGAGGCTATTTAATGGGTTTTAGAATTTAAGAAAAGTAATACTGTTGTTGACATAAAATAATTTTAGATTACAATGTGTCTGGATCTAGAGCAGGGTGAAAATCTTCAGATTATCTATTTAGTACCTCAATAAGCTATGAGAAGGAAAGCCCCTACTATGCATTTATTAATATAAGGTAATTAAAACATATCATGGTATGTACATGTATATCGATACCCTTACAAAACCTACTGTTCCAAAGGATATTGAATTGAAAAGAAATTTAGCAGAGTAACTTCAAAAAATTTGACCAATCGTGCTATTTTAGTTTGGCATATTTTTGTCTATATAAAAGAGTTTTACATTGTGAAGTAAAAGATAATTAACTCAAAGCACTGAGTTCTTTTAAAGATAGAGATAGAGGGGGTTGGACATGCTTGAAGCTTGACTCCGGGGTGGGGGCAAAGGCAATATATAGTAACCTAAACATTTGTACCCCTGTAATATGCTGAACTAAAAAAAATTTTTTAAAAAGATAGGGATAGAGAGGTTTTGTACATATGCTTAAGTGGAAAATATGTCAGGGCTATATAAATTCTGAACTTGTATGTACCCTAATGATATGTCCTAAAACCAAAAGCTTATTCTGAATTTTATTCTGTGTTCAAAACACTGTTTCTAATGGACATTATCATCTGTTTTGTTATCTGAGCATTAGTACGTAGCAGAAAATAACAGAGCAAGGACTAGCTGTTTATTGTTTTCTTAGGAAAATTGGACAATTAAAAAATCCAAGCTGTCGGCCGGGCGCGGTGGCTCATGCTGTAATCCTAGCATTTGGGAGGCCGGGCGGGCGGATTGCTCAAGATCAGGAGTTCGAACCACCTGACAAGACCCCGTCTCTACCAAAAATAGAAATAAATTAATTGACCACTAAAAATATATATACCAAAAATTAGCCGGGCATGGTGGCGCATGCCTGTTAGTCCCAGCTCCTCGGTGAGGCCTGAGGCAGCCAGGATCGGGCTGAGGCCCAGGGATATTGAGGTTGCTGGTGAGCTAGGGCTGACGCACGGCACGCTCACTCTAGCCTGGGCATCAAAGTGAGACCTGGTCTCAAAAAAAAAAAAAAAAAAGAAAACAAAAGCTTTTCTCGCAAATGAAATTCGCCCTATATGGTACTAAGGACTACTTAGCTAGCGGAAAACGAGTATCATCTAATTATTAGTATATATATATATATATATATATATATAATATTTTTTTTTTTTTTTTTTTTGAGACAGAGTCTCACTTTGGTTGCCAGGCTAGAGTGCCATGGCATCAGCCTCCGCTCGACAACCTCAAACTCTGTTAGCATCAAAGTCATCCGCTCAGGCCTCCCAAGTAGCTGGGGACTACAGCATGCCGCACCATGTCGATATTTTTCTGACTTATATATTTATTGTCCATTAACTTCTTCTATTTTGGTAGAGACAAGGTCCCCGCTTGCTCAGTCGCGAACCCGACCGGTGACCGCCCCGGCTCCCCAGGTAGGATTAAGCTGAAGCCACACCCTAGTCCACAAGTAGTATTTTTTTTTTTTGAACTGTATGGACGATTTTACGCGTTCTGAATGTTGTCTTAGTGGTGCCTGCCTTAGAGATGAGTCGCTGTGTGTAGACCAGTGCTGTCCTCGCTCACCAAGATAACCTCAAAACTCCTGGGCTCAACGCTATGGCCTGCTCGTGATGTGATAGCTCGCTCTCTCTCCTCCCATAATGCTGTCTGGGGATTTCTTTTATCTTACTAGTTCTATCTTGTATCCTTTTTGAATGGCCTGGAGTCCTCGCATTCTTCTGTTGCCTCACATAACGGCTAGTAGAGTTACCATGGCATCACGTGTACCGTAGTGCACAGCTATAACTATTAGTTGTCCATTAACTTGTCCTTGTTTCGGGTTTCTGCTAATGTGGTAGATAGACCGTTGTCATGGCTCGTGCGGTCTCTCGCTCGCTGTGGTGTGGTTAAAACTCATACCTGCGCCATTGAGCCAAACTCCACAGCCCGGTACAGAAGCAAGACCGCCTCGGGCTCTCC